GCAGCTACTGTTTTTGAAGCACCCTCCAGGAGTTCTGGCGAAAGATCTCCTTCTAGGGACCTCTCTTATCTACCAACTTATGATGCTGGGGAAAAAAGGCCACTAAACAGATCTTCACCATATCTATCTTCAAATCCATTCTGTGGAAATGCAGTGAGGCGATCGACCAAATACCCAGCTTATGACCCGGAAGGATAAGTTATGCTTCTCCGGCTCTTGCTGAACCTTTTAGTTAGATCTCTATAGAAAGAGGGAAAGAAATAGGAAATGATGGATCGAATCCTGCCATTCCAAATGCTACTTGAAAGCTCGACATCGAAAGGGAGGAATTCGATCTGCCGCTTCTCTTCTGTAGTATGATTTAAAAGTGTATTTATAGCGAGCTGTACTAANCGACCACTACATAGGAGCGATAGAGAAGCCAAGCCGTATAAAGGCGAGCAGCCCTTATAGCAATATCAAACGGCCTACTTATAGCCCTTTCTCCATTTTTTGCAGGGTAAACCCCTACCCGCCCTATTTACTATTCCAAAGTTTATGCGCGCGTCCCCGCGTTATAACATGTACTTGATTCTTCTCCAAAACAAATGGAACAAAGCCTTTCAACTGGTCTAATCGCCTTAACAACCATTTTGAGTGTAGCAGTCTCGTGTCTTTTGGTAGTTACCTTTTTGTTCCTATCCCATATTTGGTCTTCAAGGTGGCTACCCCAGGTCTTAAAGATTGAGTTGCTATATAAATATCAGAAATACAAGTAGTTACCTTTTTACGAAAAATACAAGTAGGTACGTTTTTCTGGTAAATACAAGTAGGTACCTTAACCTAATCTTTTATGGACCGTAAGCAATAAACCGAAAGTTTCTGTCAGTCTTATCGGAGTATTAGCTTTAGATTCAAAGCGGGGAGGAACTGATTGTCTAATAGTTGTTTAGTAGATTAGTAGTTTATAAACTATAGATTAGTTGGCCTGTTGAAGACACACCGAATCGAAAAACGGAGGGTTTGATAGTTGCACACTCGCTTAGTTACTGATCCAGTGCCGGGGAGGAGAACCCTATTTGATACTCAGGCTCAAGCACTCAAAAAGTTTGCCCTTTTTAGCAATTGTTTTGTGATGTGATGATAGATATCATATTACCTATTAGATAAGGATAGGCAACGAAACAAACAGGAGCTTGAAACTCCACTACTAGAGACTGTTTCCTATAACCAACCTAATTCCTGTAACCAAACCTACTACTTGAACTAGTACCTTTTCTAGTACCAGCACGGGAAGAACCTGTACCTCAAACTAGTTCCTATCACCTGTGCCTACCCTAAGATCCCGTTCCTGTACGGGAGCGGAAGCGAGAAAAGAAAAGCAGGTTTTAGATACTAGACTAAAGACTAACGTCTGAGACTTGAAACTAGCAAACACGAGATACTTACTAGAGCTCATGACGTAACTAGAACATAGCACGAAAAGAGGGATACGTATAGAGACCGAATCGGATGGATAGGAGCTTGATTGTAGGGGATGCTGGGGCGGGTCGAATTCTCTCTATCCAAGTGCAGCTACTGTTTTTGAAGCACCCTCCAGGAGTTCTGGCGAAAGATCTCCTTCTAGGGACCTCTCTTATCTACCAACTTATGATGCTGGGGAAAAAAGGCCACTAAACAGATCTTCACCATATCTATCTTCAAATCCATTCTGTGGAAATGCAGTGAGGCGATCGACCAAATACCCAGCTTATGACCCGGAAGGATAAGTTATGCTTCTCCGGCTCTTGCTGAACCTTTTAGTTAGATCTCTATAGAAAGAGGGAAAGAAATAGGAAATGATGGATCGAATCCTGCCATTCCAAACGCTACTTGAAAGCTCGGCATCGAAAGGGAGGAATTCGATCTGCCGCTTCTCTTCTGTAGTATGATTAAAAAGTGTATCTATAGCGAGCTGTACTAATACTTCTTTTGGTCGAGGAAATGGTCTATCTCTTTCTTGCTAGTAGCTCTCTTCTTTCCTGTAAATTCATCTTCTGCTTCTGGTAAGGGGAAGAGGGAAATTGCCAATTAACGATACTGATTCCGGATGCCCGAGACCAGAGGACAGAAGACCCATTCCCTTCCTTACTGTGCTGGTAGTGTAATAAGGCTAGTGCAGCGCAGTCCCTCCTATCTAGAGGTAGGAGCGTCACTTCTTCGTTTTATACCTAATAAGAGCGTAGGAGGTCTTTCTCCTTTCCTGCCTTTCTGATGTTCCTTACGAGTGGTAGTTCTTCGACTCTCCTGTGTTAAGCACGTGTAGTAAGTCTTCCTTGTTGTTATCTCTATTTCTTGCAGGTAAGAATGTAAATGTATTAGGCTAGATAAGAACTAATTAGCTGTTAGCTCTCTTTTCCTGAAGTTTATATCAAGCTAGGATAGAACATACTCTTTTATATCTATCAAGTCTTCCCCTCTTCCTCTATCTATTGGCATGGTTCTTTGTGGGCTTCCCCCAAGGCAGTCGAAGCGAGAGATCTTCTTGTTAGGACTTAGCCTTCTTGCTCTTAGCTTCCTCCCTCATGTAGTAAGGAAAGGAATGGGTAGCTAGGATAAGTCATAGCATCCTCTCTTCTATTGGTATTGAGTTCGTGTAATTACCTTTAACTTTTCTTTGAGTTCTAAGTGGACTATTCTCTGACATCGTCCTATCGTCCTGTAGCTCTTATAGGTTTATATGAAGATAGAACTAATGAGACCCTCNGATGTGATGATAGATATCATATTACCTATTAGATAAGGATAGGCAACGAAACAAACAAGAGCTTGAAACTCCACTACTAGAGACTGTTTCCTATAACCAACCTAATTCCTANTTATTTATGTACGTACACCTTTGTTTCAGGGTGGGGCCGCCCTTCCTCCTGCTAATCTGGCCATTTTCGAACCTGTCTGTCTCACCCTNTTCCTATAACCAACCTAATTCCTGTAACCAAACCTACTACTTGAACTAGTACCTTTTCTAGTACCAGCACGGGAAGAACCTGTACCTCAAACTAGTTCCTACCACCTGTGCCTACCTTAAGATCCCGTTCCTGTACGGGAGCGGAAGTTNCTTAGCTTATTATTAGATATTATAAACTCCTGGCACATTTGAATAACGAATAAGGCAAAAAAGGCTATGAAGCCCTTCTTTCAGCTGGTTTTGCCTTGACCCTTGGATAGGTTGGAGCTATGAAGCTTACCTTATTCGTTATTAGAGAAAGGGTCAAGGGCTTTTTCAGCTTGCTGCTCGCTTTCTCGCTTCCGAGAGGCGAAGGGGGCCTGACTTACGGTTGGTTTCCAATCCCTTCGCTTCGCGCCAGGATTAGATTTCACCTATGATCAGATCAGTGGGCAACCATAGTTGACTTTTTTTGTGGTGTTGTTGACGTTGTTGAAAGCTAATTTGGAAGTAGGCCTCGCTTTTCANAAACAGATCTTCACCATATCTATCTTCAAATCCATTCTGTGGAAATGCAGTGAGGCGATCGACCAAATACCCAGCTTATGACCCGGAAGGATAAGTTATGCTTCTCCGGCTCTTGCTGAACCTTTTAGTTAGATCTNGGAGGTGCCGTGAAGATCTAGGAGTGTGAGCAGTACGAGCTGAAAGGCTCCCATACTATTTGGAGGGCAGGGGGCATAGATGCCAAACAAACCTGACCCCTAGCTATCGTCGTAGAAGTTGTTCCTAGGAAAGATTATGGTTCTCGGGTATCCAATCAATTAATCCCCCAAACCGGGGAAGCTTAAGCGGAAATGAAAGAGTAGGGTGAGGGAAAAGGGGGGAAGCCACTAAATGGAAGGCTTCGCTCGCTCGCTTTAATGCTCGTTTAGTAGACAGCGAGTGGAGTGCATAAGCCCCTTTAGAGATAGGGGCGAGTACTACACGAGCTCGTAAGTCAAGTACGGAACGAGCCTTGTCTACGAAGCAGAGCGACCTCGTCTTGCTTGCTTCTGGCGAAGCTTCTAGCACTAGATAATAGGCATTCTGGTATGGCAGGAATACTACTTTTTAGGTCGACCACTACATAGGAGCGATAGAGAAGCCAAGCCGTATAAAGGCGAGCAGCCCTTATAGCAATAGCAAACGGCCTACTTATAGCCCTTTCTCCATTTTTTGCAGGGTAAACCCCTGCCCGCCCTATTCACTATTCCAAAGTTTATGCGCGCGTCCCCGCGTTATAACATGTACTTGATTCTTCTCCAAAACAAATGGAACAAAGCCTTTCAACTGGTCTAATCGCCTTAACAACCATTTTGAGTGTAGCAGTCTCGTGTCTTTTGGTAGTTACCTTTTTGTTCCTATCCCATATTTGGTCTTCAAGGTGGCTACCCCAGGTCTTAAAGATTGAGTTGCTATATAAATATCAGAAATACAAGTAGTTACCTTTTTACGAAAAATACAAGTAGGTACGTTTTTCTGGTAAATACAAGTAGGTACCTTAACCTAATCTTTTATGGACCGTAAGCAATAAACCGAAAGTTTCTGTCAGTCTTATCGGAGTATTAGCTTTAGATTCAAAGCGGGGAGGAACTGATTGTCTAATAGTTGTTTAGTAGATTAGTAGTTTATAAACTATAGATTAGTTGGCCTGTTGAAGACACACCGAATCGAAAAACGGAGGGTTTGATAGTTGCACACTCGCTTAGTTACTGATCCAGT